CTATTCTTTTTTATATATATATAATTTTTTTGCCATAGAACATGTACACTCACCAGAGAGGGTCAGAAAGAGGGAATATGAGAAATCAAACCCCAGGGCAGATGGATGCACCACAATCCTTCTCCATTTTCCTCTCAGGATTTTAGGCTTGCAGGCAAACACGCTTGGTGTGATTTTTAAACTGCCTGGCCCAGGACTCAAACCTCAGTCAGCCATATGAGAATCCAGCACCTTAACCACCATGCCACCTGCTAGCCCTGTTTTTTGTTTTGTTTTCAGGTTTTTGCAATATGGATCATGAGTTCACTGGAGAGACAGAAAAAGACAGTGAGATGGAAAGTGAGAAATCACCTCTCAGGGGGATGGTCATGTTACAGTCCTTCTCCATTCTCCTCCTGGGATTTTGGGCATGCACGCACATGCGCCTAGTGTGAATTTCAAGCCACCAGGTTCAAGACTTGAACCGCCACGTTGGATGAGTGCCTTAACCTCCACCCCCATTTTTGTTTTTAATTCTTTTCCCTTTTTGTGCTTCAGTTTGTTTTTTTCTTTCTTTCTTTCTGTTTAACAGAAATTTTTGCTAGGGACCAGCAGGTGGCATGGTGGTTAAGGTGCTGGACACTCCCACATGGCCAAACAAGTGGTTCGAGTCCCAGTGGTTTGAGTCCCGAACCTGGTGGCTTCCTTTCTCACTTTCCCTCTCTGTCTCTGTCTCTCTCTCTCTCTGGTCAAATTTTTAAAAGTAAGTGAATGAATAAAATTAAATAAATAATTATTTTAAAAATAAAAGATTTTTGCTATAGGGTGCATGTACTTGCAGGAGAGAGAGACACGGAGACAGAAAGTGAGAAATCACCCTCCCCCCAGAAGGGATGGCCACACTGCAATCCCTTCTCCATTCTCCTCTCGGGATCTTGGGCATGCATGCACACGTGCCCAGTGTGAGTTTAAGCCACCGGATCTGGGACTCAAACTGTGGTCGACTACATGGAAGTCCAGGAACATAGCCATTACGCCATCTGCTGGTCCCCAGTTTGTATAATTTCTATTGACCTGAACTTAAGTTTACTGATTTTAAGTTAAATATAAAGACAGTATGCCAAAAATGCCTGTGTCCTCAATATCTATATTAAGAATTTTTCCAACCTGATCAGAAGACAAATAGACTTGTCGAGAAAGTCATGACATTTTTCTGTTTAAAAATACATCATGACTTTCCTGACAACCCAATAAAATAATGGACAAAATAAATAAAAAGGAAGTTTACAAAAGAACAGATGCAAGCGACTAAAACCATGTAAAAACATAACCAAGGAATTGATCATACAAAACTGAGATGCCGAGTATACTTTACACTAACCTTTTTGGCACCAGGGGCTGTCACAGGATGGGAGAGTGCTGAGCTGCGTTGTGTGAGATCCTTGGTTCTTTAGGTTCAGTTCTCTAAAATTAGAGACCTGCCCTGAGGCACAAAATTAAAGCCACAACCAGGATAAAAATAGGTAGAAAAGAATATTTAATAAGAAAGAAAGACTATTAAAGAAGTACACCCGAAAGACTTTTGGGTGGGAAAGTTGCTAGATAGCAACTGTTTCTGGAATGGGTTAGGATTAGGTGTTATTTTTATTACTAGAGGTGATAATATTTAATGGTGGGAGGTCTGTCATAGTATCTGTCTCTCACAGGTGAAGATTTTGAGGAATTTGATTACCTAATTGCGTATGCCCAATTAGTTTGTTGCCTTAAGGGAAATCAGAATGTTGACCAAAACATCTTGTTGGACACTGTATTTGTGAGGAATGATCAGAGGGAGGTTCATAGCCATCCCTGTGTCTTTCAGATACCAAAGAAGGAAATTGGGATCTGCCTTGTCTCCCTATGCTAGGAATTGGGTAGGAGGAAGAAGTCTCTGCAGATGATCTGATTGTGACTCCTGATAAATCATGATTGATGTGACAGGTGTCCTTCTGTTGTTATCTTAGGGCTGCCTGCTCTTTTCTAACTAACTGCTTATGAAAGGACCATTTCATGGAAGTCAGGAGGTAGAGCTCAGACTGTAATGCAAGCAATGGGGAGCCTTTTAAATACAGATGAAGCAAATCCTGGTTCCTAACAGACCATGAACTGGCCCAGAGGTTAGGGCAAATATCAATGCCAGCGATGATGCCTGCTGCTGAGGGTTCAAGCAGAGGGCACCTTGCGTATTGCTGATAAAGTAAAGAGGGTTGCACTCTTTTTTTGTTGTTGTTTTTTGGAGAGGTTTTTGCTATAGAGCGCGTGCGCTCGCCAGACAGACAGAGAGACAGAGAGACAGAAAGCGAGAAATCACCACCCAGGGAGGATGGCCACGCCACAGTCCCTTCTCCTCCATTCTCTTCTCAGGATCTTGGGCATGCATGCACATGCGCCCGGCATGAATTTTAAGCCACCGGGTCCAGGGCGTGAACCGCGGTCGACTATGTGGGAGTCCAGTGACATAGCCATTATGCTAACTACTGGTCCCAAGAGGGTTGCACTCTTTATGGAGAAGATGGAACACGTGTTTGAATAAAAAATATATTTACCCTTTAACTCTAGCAGTTCAGCCCATAGAAATTAAATGCTGCCATGCAAGGATTTAGGGGTGGCTGAAGAACCAAGAAGAATCCCTACTTTGGAATATTGTATAGTCACTGAGAATAATGAATTAGAGTTCCAACAGTTGGGGAATATTTTCACAAGGTATTGCATGAGTAAGAAAAAGCAAAAGTCTACCATATCCATTACCAAATATCTATGTCAAAAGAAGAAAAGGCCACCGTGTGTGTGTGTGTGTATTCAGTTACACAGATGTTTGTGTATGAATGAGCATGGAGAAAGTATGGCAGGGTATATACCAGGTGGTTCCTAAGGGCTAACTAGCAGAGGTGCTGAGGGTAAGCTGAAGAAAATGATACTGCCCTAAAGCAAGTCCTGTTACCTTCATAGAGAAAAATGCAAAGGAACCAAACAGGCAATTAGCAAAATAAAAAGATGACCTATAAGCACTTAAAACAGTATTTGACCAAGGGTGGCAGCTGGTGTGGTGGCTAAGGGCTCTGAATTCCCATTTGGCCGACTGTTCGAGTCCTGGACCTGGTGGCTTGCTTTCTCACTTCTCTTTCTTTCTCTTCCCCTCTTCCCCTCCCTCTCCTTCTCTGATCAAATTTAAATAGATAGATAAATAAAGTTAAATGAAGTAATTAAAAAAAAACAATATTTGGCCACACTAAAAATCAAGAAAGGCAAATGGAAATAACAGGTACTTTTCTTACTGCATTGGCAGATATCAAAGTGGTAAATATCTGCTGATGAGGCTGCCAGAGAATAGGATAGTTCACTCACATGACCAGGAAGTCTTGGAATAGCCTTTCTGGGGTTGGTAAAATCAAAGTCATAAAAGTATGAGTAGCCTCAATCCATCATTCCACATTCTTAGGGATTTGCCCTAAAAAAATTACCAGGGATGTGCATAATGAAGAAAGCTCATCTTAACATAATTTATAATACTGAAAACGGAAACAGTCTTTTCAAAACCAGTAGACTGGATGAATAAGTTATTATAATTTATAGATTGGAATCCTATGTAGGTAGTAAAAAGTAATGTTTAGAAGTATATTTAATAATGAGGAAAAACATTCAGAAATCAGAAAGTAAAAAACATAGGTCACAAGGTAGTGGCCTGTGACCCCAACAAATGCTGTGTGTGCACGTGTTATAGGTGTACTTTAAAAATGATCTGCGACGGGAAGTACCAGCGTCTTGACCACCATTATCTCTGATGGCTGAGTGAGGCTATCGGGGTTTTCATTTTCTTCTGTGAACTTTTGTGTTTTTCATACACTTTCTAAAGTGCACATTTATTACTTTTATGTTAAAAATGTATGTAAAGTCTGTATTAGGATAGAGTTGTTCCATTACACCAGAATGTGTGGTTTGAAGGTCTGCCCCCTCAGTGGATGTTTCCAGGTAAGCGTATCCTGATGTAAAGTGGAGGCAGTCAGCGCACAGGCTCCTCTGAGGCTCCAGGACTGCATGGGCTCTGAGCACCAGCCTGGATCTGAGATTAGGGTTTTCAGGCTTTGTTAATACAGTGGAGGTTTATGCCCCATCACCAGCACCTTCTATAAGCCCTTGACCGGGCCTGCCCAGGGCACTAGCTCTGTCCTCAGCTCCTGCAGATAATGGTTTCTTTCTTATGGAGTCAATCTTTCAGGAAGCATTGCTGGTGAAGGCCAATTGTCTGCTACCAAATAGATGGAAAGTGCCTGTTTTTCACTTTTTTTTTGGTGTTCTCTTTAGGATGCACATTATTTTTATATTAGAGATGTGAAGTTTGGGTGGAGTGAAGGGGATAGCCTTCAGTTATGCTAGTAAAGATAGTCCAAGTCATGTGTGAAATAAATACTTGGTCAGGGGCCAGCAGGTGGTTAAGGTGCTGGATTCCCATGTGGTCGTCTCCAATTTGAGTTCCAGACCTGGTGGCTTGAAAATCAAGCCAGGAGGACCAGCAGTTAGTGTAATGGCTATGTCGCTGGACTCCCACGTAGTCGACTGCGGTTCAAGTCCCGGACCCAGTGGCTTAAACTCACGCCGGGAGTGTGTGCATGCGTGCCCAAGATCCCAGGAGCAGAATGGAGGAGAAGGGA